CCTTCACTTCAGTCCATTTGTGTTTTGATCTAAAGTGAATCTCTCGTAGGCAGCATATAGGTGGGTCTTGTATTTTTGTCCATTCTGCCACCTTATGCCTATTGATTGGCGTATGTGGTCCAATTACATTTAAAGTAATTATTTATAGGTATGTGCTTATTGCTATTTTGTTAATTACTTTTTGGTTGTTTTGGTTGTTCTTCTCTGTTCCTTTCTTCTCTTGATCTCTTCCCTTGTAGTTTGTTGGTTTTCTTTAGCATTTTTTGGAGTTCATATTTCTATTTTTGATGTGTTTTTTGTAGTTTTTGGTTTGTGGTCACCATGAAGTTCATGTGTATTAATCTATATTTATAGGAGTCCATTTAAGTTTATAGACATTTAAGTTTGGGTGCAATTTAATAGAACTGCATTTTTACTCCCAATCCATACTTTAAGTTTTTGATGTCATATTTTAGATCTTTGTATTTCCTGTATTCCCTAATACTTATTATAGCTATAGTTAATTTTGCTACATCTGTCTTTTAATCTTCAATTTCTATTTTCTTATTTCAGGTAGAGTATTCTAGAGTGTTTATCAGTACTTTAAATATATCCTGTCTACTCCCTTCTGGCCTGTAGAGTTGCTTCTGAGAAATCAGCTAATAACCTTATGGGGTTTCCCTTGTATGTGACTTGTTTCTCCTCTCTTGCTGTCTCTATATCCTTAACTTTTGTCATTTTAATTACAATATGTCTTGGTTGGCCTCTATGAGTTCTCTTTTATTGTTGTTAATCTTCTCTAAGATATTTTTCCATTGATTTTTCAGAAAGTGGAAGGGGGGGGGAGAGAGAGAGAGAGAGAGAGAGAGAGAGAGAAAGAGAGAGAAACATTGATGTGAGAGACACATCAATTGGTTGCCTCCCGCATGTGTTCCAACCAGGGCCTGGGATGGAATCTGCAACCCAGGTACATGCCCTTGACTTGGGAGTCATACCTGCAACCCTTCAGTGCACAGGCCAACACTCTAACTACTGAGCCATGCCAGCCAGGACTAGTTTCATCTTTTTTGGAGTTCTGTGTGCTTTCTGGACCTGGATGTGTATTTTTTTTTCTACCCCAGGTTAGGAAACTTTTCAGGCATTATTTCTTCAAATAAACTTTCTTCCCCTTTTGCTTCTTCTGGGATCCCTATAATATAGATTTTTGTGTGCTTGATGTTGTCCCAGAGTTCCCTTAAACTATATTTGTCTTTGTGTGTGTGTTTCTTTTTGGTGTTCTCATTGGGTGATTTCCACTATTATACCTACCAGGTCACTAATTTGTTCTGTATTTTCTTACCTGCTGTTGGTTCCTTTTGGTGATTATATTCTTCAGCCCTGATTGGTTCTTTATTATATTTTCTAACTCTTTGTTGAATTTCTCTCTGAATTCCTCTATTTTACTCTCAATGTTTGGTGAGCATTTTTATGACCATTACTTTGAATTTCTTATCAGGCAGTTATTTATCTATTTCATTAGGGTTTATTTCTGGACTTTTTTCTTACTCCTTTATTTGGAACGTATTCCTATGTTTTGTTATTTTCTTTGACTTTCTGTTGTTGTTTTTCTGTGAATTAGATAGAGTAGCTTTCTCTCCCAATCTTGATAAAATGATCTTGTATTAGACTGAGTGTGCAGGGTGGTTTTGGCAGGCCATTTGGAGTCATATTGGGCACATGTGACACCTGATACACTGCTTGGCTGGAGCTTCAGCATCCTTGGTGCAGGGTGGCCCAGTGCATTTGCACTTGCAGTGGCTCTCTGTTAGTATAGTTGTCCTTGCTGAAGTGGGCCCCCGGTGGTCTGCTCCAGTGTGTGTATATGCAGTAGTATCTCAGCTGTCTGAGGCAGGTACAGCCTCTGGGCAAAGCAGCCTAGTACACATATGCATGCCGTGACCCCTTCTTGGTCTGGCTTTCAGGGCTGGAGCAAGCTCCTGGTGAGTCATTCCACTGTTGGTATATGCAGTGGCACCCTGGATATCCTGGGCCAGATTGAGAATAAGCTGGGAATGTCCTGCAGCAGCTTTGCAGGTCTGCTGAAGCACCTGGATAGATGTCCGACCTGTGTTATCCCGGTGGAAGGGGAAGGTTAACAATGGTACTCATCACCACCTTCAATTCTGGAGAGGTCTCACAGATTCCAGAGAGCTTTTGTGGTTCCCCAACTTTCTTCTGCAGTTTCTCTTTCTAGTTTGATGTGCAGAAGCTGTTCGGTCAACCTTCAGTTGTCAAGAAAAATTGCTCTGTATGTAAGTGTATATTTGGTGTGGTTTGTGGGAGAGGCAGGTTCAGAGTCCTCTTCTACTCCATCTTGGACCTGCCTCCAATCCCATACTGTTTTGACTATTATATCTTTGTAGTGTAGTCTGAAATTTGTGTTCCAATAGTATAATCTAGGCCATGTTCCAATTTGACCAGTTGTCCCAATAATGTCTTTTATAGCTATTTTCTTTTCTTAGTCAAAGTTTTCATTCAGGGTGATACATTGCAGTTAGTTTTCGTGTCTCTTCAGTTGTCTTTAATCTGGAACAGTACAACTTATCTTTGTCTTCATGATATTGACAATTTAAAAAAACATAAGAAAATTATTATGCCTCTTAGTTGAAGTTTGTGTGCCATTTTCTCATTATTATATTTTGTTTTTGCATTTTGGCATGAATACCAGAGAGGTAATGTTGTATTGTTCTCAGAGCATCGTATCAGCGGCACGTGATGCTGGTTTGACCCTTTAGAAGTAATGTTAACCTTGATTACTTGGTTAAGATAATGCTTGCTAGATTCAGCCACTATAAAGTTACCATTTTTCTCTTTGCAGTTAATGATTTTGCTGGGGATACTTTGAAACCGTGTGAATGTCCTGTTTCTCATCAAACTAAAATCCACTGGTTTGATAGCCATGATGGTTTTTGATTGAATCAATTTTTATATGATGGCTGCAAAATGGTAATTTTCAAACTGCATAATTTTTACTGCATTTATTAGCTTGTACTCTACTTCAAGGAAGAGATTTTGTTACTTTATTTCATAAATATCCTATTTCTATCATTTTTTATTATTCATTTTCCCATATTTATCCAGTGGCAACCAACTCAAGCTGGTGTCCCTGGCTTCCCTGGCTTTTAACATGTCCCCATCATTCTTTGATACATACTTTGACCTCCGAATATTTTTACTTTCTTGCTTTCAGGCCTGTCTTACATTTCCTGCTTCATTAATCATTTCTTTGTGGAAAATCATTTCCTCTAATGGGAAATAGTATTTAGAAACCAAGACATGGGTACATGAATATTTTTTACCTTAACATTTTGTTATTCTTTTCCTTTTAATTGAACATAGTACAGACATGGTTTATATGATACTGGTAATTTAATATTTGTTGAGGTGTGTATTATAGAGAACATGATCAATTTTTAAATGTTTTATGTGAGCCTGAAAAGATTTTGTATATTCCAATTATTGCATGTAGGGTTCTATAAATGTCTATTAAACTTATGATTATTCTTCTATATCACCATTAATGTTGTTAGTTGCTAAATCTATCAATTATAGAGAAAGTAATTTTTTTCTTTCTATTGAATTTATGGGGGTGACACTGGTTAACAAAGTTATACAGGTTTCAGGTGCATAATTCCACAACACATCTGTACACTGTATTGTGTNGGACAGTGGCTAACAATGAGATCCTTCTCAGTGGCAGGTGATTTCTTAGCTGTGTGGTCTGGGTGGCCCCTGGTTAGACGCGGCAGACCCAGGCTGTGGTGCTGTGGTATTGGGGTGAGCAGGATGGGTGCACAGATTTGTTCCTGCCTGACTGTGCATGTTCTTAGAGCTTGCTCAGTGTAGTGCTTTCTTTTTCTAGTCTCTCAATATCCAAAAATAATTTTGCCATTAGAATAGAAGCTTTTATATGACTCATAAGCTTCTAGGTAGAAGACAAAAAAAAAAGGGGTTTTTGCTTCTTTCATATACAAAGTCTCTCCTATGAAACTTCTCATCTCTTTGAATGAGCGTATTCTTTTTACCCCCCTTTTCTTTTACTTTTTATCCATCACCATTTATCCCCCCATAACCTCCTCTACCTCCACACACACCTTCTCCCTGCAATTACCACACTGTTGTCCATGTCCACAAGTTCTTTCTCTTGTTTTTTCTTTTTTAATTCAATCTCTCCACCCCCCAGCCCCCAGCTGTTAGCTTGTTCTCTATCTATGAGTCTTTCTCTGTTTTGCTTAAAATCTCCCACTGTGATTGTGGATTTGTCAGATTCTTATAATTTTGTAAATTTTTGATCTATATATTTGAGGCTTTTTTATTATATGCATAAAAGTCTGAAATAGATACATCTTTTATTATTTTTAGTGACCTGTTTTACTTTTTGCATGTAAAAAGTCTCTTTTGTTTGACAGACTTTCCTTTGTTTGGATGGTATTTCTTTTTCCATCCTTTTACTTACTCACTTTTTTCTTTTATTTTTCAGAAAATGTTCTACCAACAAAAGTAAATGCATTGAGTTCTTTCTGAACTTAACAGCAGGATCTATAATTAGCAGAAAAGATAAGCTTTATATCTCCAAACATTATTTGTCTTCACCAGCTTTTTAAATAAAATTTTAACTTTTTAGACATTCTTTGGGTTGATCCACCAATTCTTTATTTTGCTACATATATCTCTTTATAAGTATGTACACGCACACTCACTTTGTTTTTGCTGAACCATTTGGAAGTAACTTGCAGATACCATGGAACTTCAGCTCTAAACATTTAAGTGTTTATCTCCTAAGAACAGGAATTACAGGTTTTTTTTTAATATATCTTTATTTATTTCAGAGAGAGGAAAGAAGAGGGGGAGAGAGAGATAGAAACATCAATGATGAGAGAGTCATTGGTCAGCCACCTCCAGCCTGAAACCCAGGCATGTGTCTCCCCCGGGAATCAAACCCCGATCTCCTGGGTCCTAGGTTGACGCTCAACCGCTGAGCCACGCCCAGCTGGGCAAATGGGCATTACTATTATCACACTCAGAGAAATTTAACATTAATACAACACTATTATCAATATACTGTTTATATCAAAGTTCCCCAACTGTCCTAACAATTTCCTTTATCATTTTTTATTTGTTTTGATCCAGTATTCAGTCAAGCATCATGCACTGTATTTAGTTGTCATACCCTTTTGAGGTTTTTTAAAATCTAGTATAGCAACTTCTTTTTCTTTTAATTTTTTATAACATTGGCATTTCTAATGAGTCCAGATAGCTGTGCTGCCTATGTTTCACATTCTGAACTTGTCTGTATTCCTGTAATTAAGCATTTTGAGCAAGACTACTGTGGTCCTTGTTATTACATCACATCAGAAGGCACAAAATGCCAGTTTGTCCTATTCATCATCATCATTATTATTATTATCATTATTTTTAAAAGGTCTCACATTTATTACTGAACCAACCTACTATTGCAGAAAAAAAAATCAAGACAAAAATCATGCTTCCAGTAATTTCCCAATTAAAATGCCCAACTGTCCAGACAGTAGTGATCTTTTCAGTCATTTAAAGATGTAGGCAACCTAGATACGGCATAAACATGTGAGCCATCTCTCATGTGTGATTCCTTATAGACCCAGTTTGGTTCTTCTCCAATGTCTCCTCTTGGAGTTGTACTTGATTTTATTACCAGTTTTCATCCAAATCCATTGGGGAGTGGGCCAATTCTGCTTTTGTTTCTTGGCCAGGAACCTCTTGATCATGAAAGTCTTGTGAGAAGTCATGGTGAAGGAGCCCGCCCAGGGGTGGCTCAGCGGTTGAGCGTCGACCTAGGATCCGGGCGATTGGGGTTCGATTCCTGGTCAGGGCACATGCCCGGTTGCGGGCTCGATCAATGACTCTCTCATCATTGATGTTTCTATCTCTCTCTCTCCCTCTCCTTTCCTCTCTCTGAAATCAATAAAGATATATTTAAAAAAAAAAAAAAGTCATGGTGAAGGAGAATCAACCACACACAACACGCTGGTGGAGAAAGCAAAAGAACTTATTTAGTGGCACTCTGTCCCATTCATTATTAATGATACTAATTTTGTTGACCTTTTAAAAAGACTTTAAAAAGCAGTTTTAAGTTCACAGCAAAATTAAGAGGATGTTACAGAGTTTTCTCATCTTCCCCTTGCTTCTACACATGCATAGCCTGCTCTATTATCAGCAGAGTGGCACAAATGATGTCACAATTAATGAGCCTACGTTGACAGGTAACCACCCAAAGTCCATAGTTACACTATTGTTCACTCTTGGTGCTACACATTCTATGGGTAACAACAAATATATAATGACATATTTATCATTATAGCATCTACAGAGTATTTCACTCCCTTGAAAAGTCTCTATGCTCTGACTGTTCATCTCTCTCCTCTCAGCCCCTGATCTTTTTAGTGTCTCCATAGTTTTACCTTTTTCAGAGTGTTTTATAGTTGAAACTATACAGTATGTAGCCTGTTCAGGTTGATTTATTTTGCTTAGTAATATACATTTCAGGTTCCTCCATGTCTTTTCTTGTCTTGATAGCTCATTTGTTTAGTAACATTCCATTGTCTGTACCAATTTATATATCCATTCACCTGCTGAAGAACATTTTGGTAGCATCCAAGTTTTAGCAATTATGAATAAAACTACTGTAAACATCCATGTGCAGGTGTTTGTGTGGATATAAGTTTTCAACTCCTTTTGGTAAATATCAAGAAGCACACTTGTTTATGTTTACATTTTTATGTTTATAATTGTATTTATATATATTTATATACACATACATATATAAATACATATACTGCACATATTTTTTCTGAACCATTTAACAACAAGGTACCTCTTGATTCCTAAATATTTCAGCATGTATTTCCTAAAGATCTTAGCTATTTTAACAAATTATGCTAATAAATGTCTTTTCAAGCATAAAATAGAAAAAAAATGATCCAGGATCCAATGTAGAATCATATATTGCATTTAGCTGTCATGTCTGTTTAGTTTTCTTTAATCTGCAATATTTTCTTAGACTTTCTTTGTCTAAGAAAAATATTTTTTGAAGATGATAATAGTTATTTTATAGCATGTACTCCAATTTCAGTTTATCTGATGTTTCCTCGTGATTAGATTTAGCTTATACACTTCTGTCAAGGAATACCACTGAAAGTATGTTTTGCCCTTCACAATATATTGCATACTAGGAAGCACTTGGTGTCAAATTGCTCTGTAACTTGAACTTTTAATTTCTTGTTACAGAATGCTGTTGAGGAGATTTCAGGATGTAACGCTTTGATGCCCTTTGGTGAATTCATGGATAGCTAGGCAGGTACTTTATACTTTTCCGTTAGGAAACAGTCACATATTTTTGGACATAGGCAAAATTATACTTTATAAATAGCACCACATTCCTTGTCTAGATTACCTCTATGTAGAAGTGCTCATCATTAAAGGTAGTGCTCTTGTCTATTCTGCCATCATATTTTCCTGCCTCAGAACATTTGCTTAGCCTTGCTGTTTTTCTCTTTCAGAAGAGTTTTGTCAGCAGCTTCACTTGTAGTCTTCTTAACCACCTTTCTCTGTGAAGTTAGCCAGTTTTTTCCCTCTCCTTACATGCAGACCTTTCTACAGTATTATAAGAATGATCATTTTTAAAAGGAATATATGATATGATTAAGTTCTTTTCCTGATAATCTTATTTCCTGACCTTTTATCATATCACCTCAGTCCTTTATCTTTCGTGGAAGTTCACCAACTTTTCTTGCATTGATTTTGTATTTTTTTAATGTTTTTATTGACTTTAGAGAGAGAGGCAGGGAGAGGGAGAGACCAAAACATCAATGAGAGAGAAAAACATCGGCTGCCTCCTGCATGCCCCCTACTGGGAGTAGAGCCCACAACCAGGGCATATGCCTTGACTGGGAATTGAACCCGTGAACTCTTGGTGCATGGGACGACTCTCAACCACTGAGCAACACCGGCTGGGCTGGTTTTGTATGTTTTTTTAAATTGCTATAACAAATTTACTACAAAATTAGGGGCTTAAAAACAACACATTTATTATCTTACAGTTCTGTAGATCAGAAGTCTGGTATGGATTTCATTGGATGAAAATCAAGGTGTGACAGGCTGCATTCCTTCCTGGAGGCTCTAGGGGGGGACTCTTTATGTTACCCATTTTGTTTTTGGCAGAATTCAATTTCTCCCTGTTTCCTCACTGGCTGTTCTCAGCTTCTAGAGGTCACCTGCATTATTTGTTTCGTGTGTGTGTTTTTAAATATGCCTTTACTGATTTCAGAGAGGAAGGGAGAAGGAGAAAGAGAGAGAAACATCAATGATGAGAGAGTCATTGATCGGCTGCTTCCTGCACATCCCCCACTGGGGATCGAGCCCATAACGCGGGCATGTGCCCTGACCGGGAATAGAACCGTGATCTCCTGGATCATAGGTTGATGCTCAACCTCTGAGGCACGCCAGCTGCGCCACCTGCATTATTTGGCTTATTATGCCCTACTTTCATTTTCGAAGCCAACAACTGCAGATTGAGTCACTATCATGTTAGAATTTATCTATTTCCTTTTTTTCTAAGAGGTATAAGGTTTAGAAATTTATGTAATCTAGGAAATGTGTATATATTTAAATAGCATTGGACTAAAAAAGATATAGTCATACTAAGAGAATGTAACATTATTTTTCTTTTAAAAGGATGGTAATATAACTCACTTTTGAGGAAAAATAATAGTGAATAGAGGTATTTTTATGTTGTTATAAGACAGTCTTTTCTGAAATCACAAAATCTGGGTTCAAATATAATTTCTTTTTTTTTTTAATTCTCACCTGAGGATATTTTTTCCACTGCTTTTCAGAGAGAGTGGAAGGAGAGAGAGAGAGAGAGAGAGAGAGGGAGAGAGAGAACAGTGTGAGCGAGACACATCAATTGGTTGCCTCCTGCACGTGCCCAGACTGGGGTTGGAGATCAAACCTGCAACCAAGGTACACATGCTTGACTGGAATTGAACCTGAGACCCTACAGTCCTCGGGTTGACGCTCTAACCACTGAGCCAAACCGGCTAGGGCCAAATATAATTTTTTCATTTTCTGATTATATTACCTGAAGCAAGTCATTAAACATCTGAGTTCAATTTTCATCTCTGTATATGAGGATAATAAATATCTGTAACATTTGACTCATAAGCTATTATGAAGGTCAGGCGACATAATTAAAATAAAAAGACTGTGTGCATGTAACAATATATTAAGATAAATCTATTGCAATTTTAGTTTGGGCAGAACTGTCAAATCAGTATGTATCAACTCCTCCAAGCTTTCAAAGTCAGCCATGACACCAGTGTACTTGACCTGCAAAAAGGTGAGTGAAAGCTAGTTTTGTGACTATTACTCTCAACAATAAAGAGTGTATATAAGGGTCTACATGAATAATAGATGCAGAATTTTTTCCACAAGTGGACTATATGTACCCATGCGCTCTGATAAAGGTGGAAATTGATGTGTTTTTTAAATATAGGTAATACTGGTTTATGACATTATATATAAGTTTCATGTGTGCAACATTATAATTCAACATCTGTATTTACTACATAGTGCTAACCACCAAAAGTATAGTTTCCAATCCTCACCATAAAATTGACCCTTTTTATCCGCTTCACCCTCCCTCCATTTCCACTTTACCTCTGCTAAAGAATGATCTGTTGTCTGCATCTATGAGTTTGTTTTCATTTTATATTCCACATATGGGTGCAGTCATATGGTATTTATCTTTTTCTCCTGGACTTAGCATGATACCCTCAAGGACCATCCATGTTTTCACAAATGGCAGGATATCACTTTTCTTTATGGCCAAATAGTATTCATATAAATATATATACATATATTTATATATATGTATATATACACACACATATATATCTATCACATGTTTTTAAAATTTTATTTGTCTATAAATACCTATATTGTTTCCATATCTTGGCTATTGTAAATAATGCTGCAGTGAACATAGGGGTGCATATATGTTTTCATATCAGTGTTTTCATATTCTTTGGATAAATAACCAGAAGTGGGATAGGTGGATCATATGGTAGTTTTAGTCTTAATTTTTTTGAGCAATCTCCCTATATAGTTTTTCATAGTGGCTGTACTAATGTACATTCTCACCAACAGTATATGAAGGTTCCTGTTTCTCTGCATCCTCTTCAACGCTTGTTTCTTGTCTTTTTGATGATAGTCATTTTAACAGGTGCGGTGATATCTCATTGTGGTTTGCATTTACATTTCCCTAATAGTAAGTGGTGTTGAACATCTTTCCATGTGCCTGTTGGCCACCTGTATGTCTCCTTTAGAAAAATCTTTATTCAGAGAATCTGCTCCTTTTTAATAGAGTTGTTTGGGTTTTTGTTGTTGTTGTTGAGATGTATACGTTCCTTATATATTTTGGATATTAACCCCATATATTTTGGATGTATGGTTTGCAAATATAGTTCTCTATTTCTAGGTGGCTTTTTCATTTTGTTGATAGTTTTCTTTGCTGCGCACAAGCTGTTTAGTTTGATGTAGTCCCATTTTGTTATTTTTGCCTTTGGAGTCAAATCTACAAGAACACTTCTGAGACCAACATCAAGGAGCTTACTGTCTATGTTTTATTCTGTGTTTTAGGGTTTCAGGCCTTATATTCAATACTTTAATCCATTTTTAGTTTTTTTTTTGTGTGTGTGTATAGTGTAAGATAGTGGTCCAGGTTCATTCTTTAGCGTGTGGCTGTCCAGTTTTCTCCACACCATTTATCCTTTCCTCATTTATATTCTTGGTTCCTTTGTTGTAAATTCATTGAACATAAATGTATGATTTTATTTCTGAACACTGTATTCTGTTCCATTGATCTATGTGTCTGTTTTAATGTCAATACCATACTCTTTTGATTACTATAGCTTCATGATAAAGTTTGAAATCAAGAAGCGTGATGCCTCCAGCTTTGTTCTGCTTTCTGAAGATTGCTTTAACTATTGGGGTCTTTTGTTGTTCCATACAAATTTTAGGATTTTTTTCTATTTCTGTGAAAAAATGCCATTGTATTTTTGCTAAGGACTGTATGGAATTTGTAGATAGATTTGGTAGTAGGGATAGTTTCACAATATTTATTTTTCCCATCCATTAACATTGATTATCTGTTTATTTTTATCTTCAGTTTTTTTCAGAAGTGTCTTATAGTTTTTAGTGTACAGGTATTTCACCTCAGTTAATTTTATTCCTAGACGTTTTATTATTTCTGATGCTTGTAAATGGTATTATTCTATTAATTTCTCTTTCTGATGTGTCATCATTAGTGTATAGAAACATGACGGGTTTTTGTATATTGACTTTGTATTCTGCAACATTATTAAATTTGATCGTTAGTTCTAAAAGTTTTGGGTGTCATTTTAAAGATTTTTTATTTTAATTTTTTATTAACACATAATTGACATACAATATCGTATTTGTTGCAGGTGTACATCATAGTGATTGATATTTATATACATTCTGTAATGATCCCCATGGCAAGTCTAGTTACCATCTGTCACCATGAAAAGTTATTATAGTATTATTGACTATATTCCCTATTCTGTACTCTACATATTCATGACTTACTTATTTTATAACTGAAAGTTTGTACCTCTTTGTCCCTTCACCTATTTCGCTCCCCAACTTCTCTCCCCTCTGGTAACCACCAGTTTGTTTCTCTGTACCTGTGAGTATATTTCTGCTTGGTTTTGTGTATTCATTTGTTTTGCTTTTTAACTGAACTTCCATGAAATCATAATGCTATTTGTCTATATGTGACTAACTTCACTTAGTCTAGTACCGTCTGGGTCCATCCATGGTACCACAAATAGCAAGGTTTCATTTTTTATATGGCTAAGTAATATTTCATTTTATATGTATATATATGTATATATATAATCTTCCTTATCCGTTAGTCTGCTGATGGACACTTAGGTTGCATCTATATCTTTGTAATTGTAAATGATGTTGCAGTGAACATAAGGGTACATATATCTCTTTGAATTAATTCTTTTCTTTTCTTTGTATAAATACCCAGAAATGGAATTGGTAGATTGTATAGGAGTTTTAGTTTTCATTTTTTCAGGAATCTCCGTACTGTTTTCCATAGTGACTGCACTATTTTACATTATCACCAATAGTATACAAGGGCTCCCTTTTCTCTATATCATTGCCAACAGTTGTTATTTTTTGACTTTTTGATAATAGCTATTCTCACAGATTTGAAGTGATATCTCTTTATGGTTTCGATTTGCATTTTCCTGATCATTAAGGATGTTAAGCATTTTTTTATGTGCTTGTGGGCCATTTGTATGTCTTCTCTGAAAAATGTCTATTGAGCCTGGCCGGGCATGGCTCAGCGGTTGAGTGTCGACCTAGGATCCAGGCAATTGGGGTTCGATTCCCGGTCAGGGCACATGCCCAGGTTGAGGGCTGCAGCCGATCAATGACTCTCTCATCATTGATGTTTCTATCCCTCTCTCTCCCTCTCCTCTCCTCTCTCTGAAATCAATAAAGATATATTTTTAAAAAAAAGAAGAAAAAAAAAGAAAAATGTCTATTGAAATCCTCTGGGAGAGGGGGTGGAGGGGGAGAGAGTAACCAAAGAATTTATATGCATATATGCAC